GGTGACCGCGACACTTTTACCACTTTTCAAACTTCAGTAAACGCGATATCTCATAAAACATTGCACCCAGTGTCTTCAATTATGTCGACAGCCTACATTGGGTGATTATGCAGACACCAGTCATTTCTTGTATGTGACCAAAAAATAAAATGTAGTAAATATGGTATAAATATTTCATTCTTCTTTAGCGGCGGGGCACATTGACATATTAGTGGCAAACACTTGTTCAGTTTTGCATGTAATTCATTGTGTCTAAGCCTACATACTGATCTGATTAAAACCATCAGTTGTTGACTTTCATCTTTATGCTCATGATGTTTTACTGAAATGGAAATTTCAATATCTTCTTTAGTGTTTGTCGTATGCCATGAAGATAGGAAGTTGTTTGTGTTTATTCTTATATTTCATTATGATACCAACTGGAGTATGCCATGAAGATGGGAAGTTGTTTGTGTTTATTCTTATATTTCATTATGATACCAACTGGAGTATGCCATGAAGATGGGAAGTTGTTTGTGTTTATTCTTATATTTCATTATGATACCAACTGGAGTATGCCATGAAGATAGGAAGTTGTTTGTGTTTATTCTTATATTTCATTATGATACCAACTGGAGTATGCCATGAAGATGGGAAGTTGTTTGTGTTTATTCTTATATTTCATTATGATACCAACTGGAGTATGCCATGAAGATGGGAAGTTGTTTGTGTTTATTCTTATGTTTCATTATGATACCAACTGGAGTATGCCATGAAGATGGGAAGTTGTTTGTGTTTATTCTTATCTTTCATTATGATACCAACTGGAGTATGCCATGAAGATAGGAAGTTGTTTGTGTTTATTCTTATATTTCATTATGATACCAACTGGAGTATGCCATGAAGATGGGAAGTTGTTTGTGTTTATTCTTATCTTTCATTATGATACCAACTGGAGTATGCCATGAAGATGGGAAGTTGTTTGTGTTTATTCTTATATTTCATTATGATACCAACTGGAGTATGCCATGAAGATGGGAAGTTGTTTGTGTTTATTCTTATATTTCATTATGATACCAACTGGAGTATGCCATGAAGATGGGAAGTTGTTTGTGTTTATTCTTATGTTTCATTATGATACCAACTGGAGTATGCCATGAAGATGGGAAGTTGTTTGTGTTTATTCTTATATTTCATTATGATACCAACTGGAGTATGCCATGAAGATGGGAAGTTGTTTGTGTTTATTCTTATCTTTCATTATGATACCAACTGGAGTATGCCATGAAGATGGGAAGTTGTTTGTGTTTATTCTTATATTTTATTATGATACCAACTGGAGTATGCCATGAAGATAGGAAGTTGTTTGTGTTTATTCTTATGTTTCATTATGATACCAACTGGAGTATGCCATGAAGATGGGAAGTTGTTTATGTTTGTTCTTATATTTCATTATGATACCAACTGGAGTATGCCATGAAGATGGGAAGTTGTTTGTGTTTATTCTTATATTTCATTATGATACCAACTGGAGTATGCCATGAAGATGGGAAGTTGTTAATGTTTGTTCTTATATTTCATTATGATACCAACTGGAGTATGCCATGAAGATGGGAAGTTGTTTGTGTTTATTCTTATATTTCATTATGATACCAACTGGAGTATGCCATGAAGATGGGAAGTTGTTTGTGTTTATTCTTATATTTTCATTATGATACCAACTGGAGTATGCCATGAAGATGGGAAGTTGTTTGTGTTTATTCTTATATTTCATTATGATACCAACTGGAGTATGATACCAACTGGAGTATCATGAAGATGGGAAGTTGTTTGTGTTTATTCTTATATTTCATTATGATACCAACTGGAGTATGCCATGAAGATGGGAAGTTGTTTGTGTTTATTCTTATGTTTCATTATGATACCAACTGGAGTATGCCATGAAGATGGGAAGTTGTTTGTGTTTATTCTTATATTTCATTATGATACCAACTGGAGTATGCCATGAAGATGGGAAGTTGTTTGTGTTTATTCTTATATTTCATTATGATACCAACTGGAGTATGCCATGAAGATGGGAAGTTGTTTGTGTTTATTCTTATATTTCATTATGATACCAACTGGAGTATGCCATGAAGATGGGAAGTTGTTTGTGTTTATTCTTATATTTCATTATGATACCAACTGGAGTATGCCATGAAGATGGGAAGTTGTTTGTGTTTATTCTTATGTTTCATTATGATACCAACTGGAGTATGCCATGAAGATGGGAAGTTGTTTGTGTTTATTCTTATGTTTCATTATGATACCAACTGGAGTATGCCATGAAGATGGGAAGTTGTTTGTGTTTATTCTTATATTTCATTATGATACCAACTGGAGTATGCCATGAAGATGGGAAGTTGTTTGTGTTTATTCTTATGTTTCATTATGATACCAACTGGAGTATGCCATGAAGATGGGAAGTTGTTTGTGTTTATTCTTATGTTTCATTATGATACCAACTGGAGTATGCCATGAAGATGGGAAGTTGTTTGTGTTTATTCTTATATTTCATTATGATACCAACTGGAGTATGCCATGAAGATGGGAAGTTGTTTGTGTTTATTCTTATCTTTCATTATGATACCAACTGGAGTATGCCATGAAGATGGGAAGTTGTTTGTGTTTATTCTTATATTTCATTATGATACCAACTGGAGTATGCCATGAAGATGGGAAGTTGTTTGTGTTTATTCTTATATTTCATTATGATACCAACTGGAGTATGCCATGAAGATAGGAAGTTGTTTGTGTTTATTCTTATATTTCATTATGATACCAACTGGAGTATGCCATGAAGATAGGAAGTTGTTTGTGTTTATTCTTATATTTCATTATGATACCAACTGGAGTATGCCATGAAGATAGGAAGTTGTTTGTGTTTATTCTTATATTTCATTATGATACCAATTGGATTAAACATTGATAGGCTTGTTTATTGACATTAGACATAATAGTGATATTGAATTCACCATCGTGGAAGTAGAGCAGCTTTTATACAATGTACCGTATTCACCTTGCTAAAGTGAATTGTATTCACCTGCTTCACTGCATTTTGTCTACTGTAGTTAGCATCCTTCTTGAATATGAACCCAATCTAGGAAAGGCTGTAAATGATAAGAATGAGTGAGTGAGTGTGGTTTCACACCGCTTCCTACATTGTACAAAATGGGAATCAAATATTTATTGGTGTGGCGAGTGAACGTTGTCACCACTAGGCTACCTCAATACCCCTCCATTTAAAAGAGGGCGGTGGGGTAGCCTAGTGGTTAAAGCGTTGGCTCGTCACGCCGAAGACCCGGGTTCGAATCCCCATAGGGTACAATGTGTGAAGCCCATTTCTGGTGTCCCCCGCCGTGATGTTGCTGGAATATTGCTAAAAGCGGCGTAAAACCAAACTCAGTAAGTCAGTCTATTTAAAAGAGCTCTGTACCAAGAATGAAAATGTACATGTCATTCTATACTTTTGTGTGCATTTATATTAAGAACATGTTTACTATTTTTTTAAACATTTAGTTTTATTGACATTTGGATTTATGTCATTCAGTCATCAACGTCACCATATCTAACTTATTCTGAATAGGTGTAATATATCTATTTTCTAATGATGCTCCTTTTAGTAGTATTACAGTGAAGGCGGTATCTATGAAACATTATATACCAGTGAATGAAAACGATACAGTTATATATTTACTCTACAGCTTCCTTATGCAGGTTGTCATGGCCCTCTTGACCCTGACCCTATAAATTACACGCTAATCAGTGCCTGCCTTGACTTCAGTGTTCTACATGTCACTTAAAGTCCTTCGTCATATAATTACGGTTCCATTTTATGGTGGCTTTGATATAACACAAACAACATCATAATAGGTTAGAAGTGATATTCAATTATTAAACTTGATAATGTTTAATATTATTATATATAAAGTAAATAAATATTAGTGAGTGGGTGGATTAGTGAGTTAAGTTTTACGCCGCACTCGGCAATATTCCAGCTATATGGCAGCGGTCTGTAAATATTCAGGTTTGGACCAGACAATTCAGTGATCAACAACATGAGCATCAATCTATGCAACTGGGATACGATGACTTGTGTCAACCTGTCAGTGAGCCTGACCACCCAATCCGTTAGTCGCCTCTTACAACAAGAATGGGTTAATGAAGACCAGTTCTAATCCGGATCTTCACAGGTAAAATAAATATTAAAAACAATCTGTTTACAAGTCATTGGTGGTACAATATGGTTGTAAATAACTCAAGAGTGCTTTTCAAATGGTGCTTGAGCTGGGGTTGCATGTGGTACTCCATTGTGCCAGTCGTCCTAGATTCTGACTCTCAAAATTAGTCTACACTCGTGATACTGGTTAGATAAAAATACACTCAACTACTCCCACCCGAATATTGTCAGAACCTGTCATGGGCAACAGAATGAACCACCTATGCGTCAAAAACAATGTCATTACAAAAAACAGAATTCATGGCTTGAACTGAAAACATAACTTTCCGAAATTAATAATGTTGGATGCAAATTCACACCTGAAAATACAATGAAACCAGCAAAACTTAGTTGTTTCTTATAATACAAATTCACCATGACTGACAGATGTGCTATTAGTTCCCAGACAACTAGTAACACTTAGTGACATTCTCTACTGGTTTCATTCCATGTATAGGGCGGTGGGGTAGCCTAGTGGTTAAAGCGTTGGCTCATAACGCCGAAGACCCGGGTTCGATTCCCCACATGGGCACAATGTGTGAAGCCCATTTCTGGTGTCCCCCGCCGTGATATTGCTGGAATATTGCTAAAAGCGGCGTAAAACTAAACTCAGTCAGTCAGTCATTCCATGTATAAAAATATATTTAATATTTGCATCCAAAATACTTCTAAAATATATTGGCATTTAATTAAAATATTTTGATAATTTCAACAAATATCATGAATAAATTGAATAATTTCAACTTTTGTTCTTTGTTTTCAGAGTGAGGCTAAAGAGCTGTCCACCATCAAAATGGAGCCAGACAAGCCGGTGTGTCGAGAAACCACGCCCCTGCTGTTGGATTCTCGGAAGGAGAACGTGAAGCTGGCCGGCAATGTTTCAGCAGCTCCTCCATCCCCTATCATCAGCAGGACGCCATCGAACGACCCATCACTGCCTGTCATTCAAGTTGAAGTCGAGAGTCAAGCCTATCAAGTGCAGTCTCAAATCCCAGTCCAGGACAGTCGGGCCATGATGGAAAATGCTACCAGGTAAGCGTTTCAGACAGTGCGGTTGAAGGGGTTGTTGTCGGCACGGGTACTACAGATGTGTACCCCAGGTACATTTCGATATGCAGACACGTACCTTAGCAAAAATCAGAATACAGAAATGTACCCTAGGAAAAGGCCATCCTGTACTGTGCTATTTTCTTGATCGGAATTCAGATGCATTTGATAGGGTTACATGGGAAGCGAGCAAACGGAGCATACACAGGAATGAATATTTCGTGATCCACAGTACCACTTGCAATCAGCCGAATGGGAACAACTACATATGTTTTCAGTTTTGGGTTGCGGATAATGGACTCGTCTGCCGTTTAGGGTACCAGGTACATTTCTGTATTTTAACTTTGTGTAGGGTACATACCTGTAGTACCTGTGCTGACAACAACCTCTACAGCGATAGTCAGGCCATGTTGGTACACTGCCCCAGCTACTGATCTGCAAGCCAACAACTGATGGATAGCTTTCTCAGCATTGATGATTAGGAAAATCATAAGATTTTGTGATATGCTGTTATTGACAACCTCCATGTTTTGCATGATGTGGACACTAGGAACGAACCTACATGCCTTTTGTTAGAAATGTTGACAGTATTGTGTTTTGTCTACTGCCAAGTCACCATGTACTTAAGAGTGTCTTTCTGTGACTTGTCAGTTGCACATGATCTACTGGCAAACAAGGATAAGTTGAGCACTGACCCCGACAGTTGACCCGTATTAGCATGTATGGGTGCCACCCACTGGCGCTTGCCATTGTTAGCGAAAGGCCCCAGGTTGTCCGCGATCAAGTGTAGTGTGACTTGCTACACCGACACGAGACGTGAGCAAGGCGTGTGCAGATACGCGTGGAATCAATTTCAGTGCAATGCACGTGCACTAGCCTACATCTGCTCTACCTTTCACAAACCAAATGGGTTTGCTCATTGCCATGCACCACCTACTTCTCGTAAACGTGTTCTCTGCAGCAGTCCAACTTATCCTTGTTTGCCAGTAGATGGACTTGCCACCAAATAGGCCATGAAAACTGAGGTCTGCGGATGTTATTTCTGTTATTCTTAGGTTCAAGGGAGGAAGATTGGAAAATAAATAGATAAATAAAAGGAGGTTTGAGTGTTAAGAAGCTTCTAGAAATTGCATTAACTGCCTTCTAAGAAGTCTGCAAACAATACTTTCCATTCCACTATGTCATCTGGGTGCAAGATGCTTGGATGGAGATCACAGAAGATGTTTCTGCCATTAACAACAGCTCTATAACACGATTGAAGACTTCTCTTGAGGTTCTTCTATCAAACATATTGTCAAGGTGGATAGTTACTTTAGTGACAAGTGTTTTATTGTATGTCTGAAAATATCACTTGAATAGCAAATACCAAACAATATCTTCAACTGTTAAAGGTTCATTCAAAAGGTTTATTGGTAAAGAAATAAGGGTGAATAATTGAAAAGAATACATTGGGGAAGTATGCTGATTGTCGTTGTGCTGTGGTTCTCTTTTAAAAGAAATTTATACCTGTGAAGATCGGGAATAGAATTGGTCTTCAGCAACCCATGCTTGTCATAAAGGGACTGGATGATAGGTCTGCATGGTATTACCTGTATACCACAATACGCCCTTCAATATTGCAGTAATATTTATCAGAAGTGATATATTGGGTAATAAGAATATTTGAAGTTTTGTGATGATCTCTATGGTTTCATGTTAATCTACACAGACTTTCATTCACACTGAAGTTTTCCATTATAATTTATTGACAAAACAGCATACTTTACATACAATAAGTTTTATAATAAGGAAAATACAATCCCTCAAAATCAGATCTAAATTCGAGATTTCTGTTGTCATGACCACAACATTATTTGAAGGCATTAGTATGTCGAAAATAGACTCTGCATGTACCATCAATGTCATTCACTGTCAAACATTGAAGCTCCTAATATATCCCAATTTATCGGGATACGAATACCAGAATCGCAATATATTGCAATACAATTTATTTTCCAACACACAGCCCTAGTGTTGGGTATCATTAACACCATTAGAGATAGCAATCACAGGGGTGGAAATAACTTTAAAATTGCTAGTGTACTCCGGTACAGTGGCACATGTAAAATCACTTGCCCTGATAATTTTTCCACTATACCGGCCATTTTCTTGTTGATTTTTTAAATATACAACATAATTAACATTGGAATATCAACTGGACCCTGGTACAGCGTGATATACAAATTTGCTTGCCCAACAGAAAAAAACACTGGACTCGGGCGTCGGGCAATGGGTTATTTCCACCCCTGCAATCAACTTCTTGATGAATGAGCCAGTAAATGAGAAAGGTCTGTGAAGTGAGACAAGGGAACTGAGTGACCCAGATTGCTGGTCTTCTAATGAGCAATGTCAGATTTACTAGTTACTGCTTCTGTGATTGTTGTGCTGCTATCAGGTCAAAGGTTGAGGACTATATCCAGATAACTGACACTTATCGGTACTGAGCATGTTTGAGTGTGATGATGTAACAGGGACTTTCCCTACAACTACAACTTGTAGTACAACTTGTACAAGGTCAAGATAGGCCCTCAGTGACCCATCATTGTCTCCATGTGGAGGTACAGTGTAAGGACCAGACCCAAGCGGACCATGTGTGTCTCCCTGTGGAGGTAGTGTAAGGACCAGACCTCAGTGACCCATCATTGTCTCCATGTGGAGGTAGTGTAAGGACCAGACCCCGGTGGGCCATGTGTGTCTCCCTGTGAAGACACTGTGTCGTCTGCTGGTGATGATCCCACAGTCAGTCACAACAAGGCGTCGTCTGCCTGTGTGGACCCCAGGGCCAGTTACAACAAGGGGTCGGCTGCCTGTGTGGACCCCAGGGCCAGTTTAAAAAAATGGGTCATTTGCCTGAAATGACTCCACAGTCAATCACAGCAAGGTCCAACTGCCTGTGCTGACCCCAAAACCAATCACATCATCTTCTCCATGATAAAGTACACTTGCTTGAACTGACAATGCTACACTGTATAGTATGACCAGAAATTACTGAGAATTTTAGGAATATGTTTAATTGGATTTCTAGTATAAACAACCTAGACCAGCTATCAAGTGCTTGGTTTCTTTCAAGAGAGACAACTTTGTTAATCCTTTTTCATTAGTTTATTTGTGAAGAGTTAGCCCCCTTTGTTTACTTGCTAGCAGACGACATTTTCAGTGATCCTCAGTATGGATGATTTAGAGAAGAGGAAGTTGATCTTAGAGTATTATAACAAGGACATCAGATCAGCTAAAGTGATTTCAAGTAGAACAGGCATCCCTTTGTCCACTGTTTATTGTGTTTTGAAAAATATTGCAAATGCATATGGCATTGAGCACCAGGGGGGCGCAGGTAGGCCCAGAAAATTGACTGTCGGTGACTGGAGGCGGCTTGGTATTCTTGTTTCTAAAAACAAACAAAGAAGTTTACAAAACATAAGGCTGGATATGATTGATAGAGGAACTGTGGCTGTCTGTAAGGTAGAACTGAGCTGCATGCAATGGGTTGGCAGAAAAGTCAAGGAATTCCATCACCGATCATGAAACCTGAACAAAAGGAGCAAAGGTTGAACTGGTGCTTACAGCATAGAAATTTTAACTGGGACAATGTGATTTTCTCGGATGAAAGTTCTGTGTGGCTGTTTCCTAATACACTGAAATTCTGGACCAAACAAACGGAAAACCTTTGTAACAGCGCCCAAAGTACAGTCTGAAATGTAACGTGTGGGGTGGCATATCTGTGTTAGGGGCAACGCCCCTCTGTGTATTTTAAGGGAATATGAACAGTGAGCAGTACACAGATATTCTCGAGGGACATTTACTTCAATTTGCTCACGTGTTCTATGGAAATGTTTGGATTTTCCAGCAGGACAACGACCCAAAACATCGTTCAAAGCATTCACAGGCCTGGTTTCGGACCCAAAATATGACATTATTAGATTGGCCAAGATATAGCCCTGACCTAAATCCAATAGAAAATGTTTGGGGACTTATGAAGGAAAGTGTCAATAAGAAAAATCTGCCAAATATTGCTGAAATGAAATAAGATGTGGTCCGATATTGGGACAGCATGGACCATGACTTTCTAACTTCTTTGATCAGTAGTATGCCTCGCCGCGTTGAAGCCTGCATTGCTTCCCATGGTGACTTGAAAAAATACTAACTGTTCACCTGTCTTTGAATCTGGAGTTATGTTCTGCTAATATTCACATTTAATACGTGAGTAATGAGTGAAAAAAAATAATTTACAATCTTTTATTTTCTCAATAATTTCTGGTTGTGCTGTATCATTAATGTGTCAACCTCACCACGTTGGTTTTGTTCCACTTTTCGTACAGCAGATGCTAGGAGTGGCCCAGATAACCCACTTGTTTGCTTTGATTTGATTTGCAGAGTTGCATCCCTTAGCTGTTCCAGAATGCTGTGATTGTGGATTCACATCCCAGATTCACTGCTTATATATTTTGTTCCGTTTGTCAGTCAGTACTGTACCTTTTCTTAATGATGTCACCAAGGTTTTAAATGGCTGTTTTTCCTTTATGACATGATGTAACTTAAACACTGTTAAAAGCAGTGAAGAAAGTAACAACATATGACAAGATGTTTAGATTTGCCACCATTGACCTCCTCAATAGGGTGTCAACAAGCAGAAGTTAATTCCCCCCAACCAGCTCTAAAATCTGTGAAGCCATCAGGACACCATATTTTCTTGATCAGCTGAAAGGATGCTGTGATTGTACAGCTTGAGACATGTTTGCAGATTCTTGCATTTACCTTGACGAGCTGATTGATGTTGTCACTTATAACATAAAGATCTGTGTTGACTGTGTTGTTCCTACAAAAACATTAATGAGTTTTCTCGAATGACATGCCCAGGATAACAAAAGAGCTTAGTCAGTAATAAATGAAAAGAAAAGAGCTTTTTGGGAACAAGTTGAAGTTTGAGTCAGTTCCAAAAAACTATTGCA